GGTGAACAGGTAAGTCTTTTGACAATGCCCTTTGCCTTAGATTTAGATGTGCCTGTTGATAGAGAACTTGACTTTTGACCTGTTTTCACGTTTCTGAGCCCTGGCAAGATACCTTTTCACAATGCTTCACTTTTACAAGGCCCGTGCTGCTCTATTTTTACAAGGCCTGAGGCCTATATCGGGTAAAGGCCCTTTTAATGTCTTGTTTTCGTTGCTCCACTTCACTTGGAGGTTGGACATGGGTTCTATCTCATGGCATAGGCACACTATTTCGGGACTGAATGTGGCTCTAATGTAAGTCACATACGTCAAGCGAAGTACCAGTGTGAGAATGCCTTCGGACAGGTGCTTCTGGCCACGATTGCAGTTCTGCAGCCAGGAGGCTGTGCCTAGTGGGGTTGTGTTTTGTTGTTTTGCGTGCATTTCTGTTTTGGGAATGTCGTTCGTTGTTAGGAGGGGTTTTGAGGGGGGCGAGACGTAGTGCGGAGGGGTGCGGTCGTTGTCGTTAGAGAGACCGGTAGCTGGATCGTTCGCGCGACTGTTTGGAGGTCGGAAGGCGGTCGTGTGTGTAGGTTTGGAGGCTGTGGGTGGGCGCCCTCTGGGGTTTCCTTTTCGGGAGGTTGGTTATATGTTTTTGTACGTGGGTGTGCTGTCTCGTGTGCCGTTTCAGTGTACTTAGTCCTGTCTTTGCACTTGGTGCATATAACGTCGTTTGGTTTCTCGGGTGGAGGAGGGCGTGAAACTCAGGGCGTAACGCGAAACTGGGGCCAAAACTTTTTTTTCTCTCGCTTTTTTCGTTGTTGTTGTACTTTTTTCTTCGCTGTTGTACTGTTCTTTTGGCGTTTTGTGATTGTATCTGTATCTGAATAGTGGACCCATTCGCGTTTTTCTGTATGAACTGAGCTACGGTCGTTGGTGTCAGGGTACATTTGGGTTTGCACTTTTGTGGACGAGTCGTGTGAAGAGACGTTTGGGCTTTTGGGGATGCCTATGGAGCGTAAGACATCTTCTTTTCTTTTCTTCAAATGATGCACGATAGTCTCTTTACTCGACGATCTGCAGGCATGTATATGGTCATGCCGTCGGGGCATATCCGGATGACTGTGGACGAGCTGCAGGCATGTATATGGTCAGATGGTCAGACTGGCCGTGGGTACATACAATCAAGGCATACTCGGAATAGCACTTCTTTTTTTGACTGAGTTGTCGATATAGTCAGATACTTTTGTCTACATCCAGCATGGGCTGCAATGAACGGCTAGTGGGGTGGGGTCGTATGATTTTTATTTTTATTATTTTTCCTGGGGCGTGGGGTTGCATTCAGGTATCGTACATGTAACATATGTGGACGTTTTCCAGGTGGTGGGAAACGTTGGCTTTTTTTTTTTTTTTTTTTTTTTTCCGAGTGTTGGGTAGTCAAAGGAGGGAGTCAATGGCAGGGAAAGGGTTGGATGTTGACATGGAACCGGTGTACGTACCGCCCACACACGCTTGCTCCGTGTCGAACCGTACATATGTAGACGTTTCGAGGTGGGAAATGTTCACACTTTTGTTTTTTTTTGTTTTTTTTTGAGCACTGGCTACAGGACCCTGTGAACAAAAACGCCCTTGTTTGACAAAAACGAGGTTCGATGGTCATATCATCAACATCACTACATTGCAGAATTTTCAGTCCAACATACGCCGTGAACATACCCCACATATGCGTAGTTGCACCATAAACACCACTATTCTGTAGCACAGTTTCTCCCTGATTAAACCCATTCTAGATTTTTCTGCAAGCGGACGGATGCAATTTCCACTCATCACCACACACGTCCACGACCATCGCAGGTGCATCCACCTTGAAATTGAACATGTTCGCATGCCGCACCCCTCCTGGCTGTGTCCCCGCGTGTAACGTGGTGTAACAGTAAGATGCATTCAGGAAGGGCCATGTTTCCCATCTGAGTATGCCCTCAGACGGTTGCTTATCTTTGGAATGTCTCTGCATCGGTGGCAGAGCAGAGACCCGTCACCGTCGGGTACCCCTTTGCACGTGTGCCCATCACCACCGACCTTAAATCATTACCACCAGAGAGCAGGAGAGAGATTTGATGAGCTTGGCTAAGAGTTCGAGAGATCCAAAAAAGAAAAAAAAAGTTTGAGAGAGCATAGTCACTGTCAAGGGCTGCCATGAGCAGGTCAGGTCACCTTCACCCCCTGCCACATTCAGTGATGATGTTCCTGGGTCTGAGTAGGCATACCCTCACTCCATTACACAAAATTCAAGCGGGCAGTTGTCCTCATACGCTGAAAAGGTTGGATTTATCAGGGCCACAATGCGGTGTGGATACATGTCCAGTAAACTATGCTGAAGATAAAGAACCACTCCGATAGCTTCAAGCGATAGCTTCAAGTGGTGGATGACCTGGTTGGAACACGAAAGTGTCCAATTCCGTGTGAGCTGTCTCACCACAGGTATTGTTTTTCTGTGCTCGTCCTCAGTCTTCACAAGTGGATTTTTCCCGCGTTCTGACGAGTGCAGTACGGCGAGGTCTCTCTGTGCTTTAACCACCACTACGGGCCTCGCTTCACGACTCAACTTTCGACATGTATCTCGACTGCAAAGTGGTACTTGATATGTTCCAACTGATCAAACATTTTGAGTGTACGAGGACCAGTGCCAGCTCCGGATGCATTTCGAATTTTGTGCAGTGGAGCAAGGCCCTATATCTGAAAAGACAGTGCCACACCGTGTGTCTCCCTCCAGAAAATAAATACTCAGCTGGTAGTATTGGATGCCCGATCAGATGGGCAGCGGCGTAGAGAAAATCGTGGCCTCCTGAGTTTCAGGGAGGGACAGGCCACGTGATCTGTATCTGAGGTCTTTGTTGAGAAAGTCGTGGGGTCCTGCGATTCAGCAGGGGCTGCGATATAGAGCCACAGTGGTTTAGCTGGAAACCTCGTCTCGTCCCACACCACATGACCCCTGTTAATCAGGGAGGGGCTGCTTCAGGGGGTGTCAGGGAGGGACAGACCGCAGTGAGCTGTGTTAGGTCTTTGTTAGGGAATCTGAGGAACGGACTCGATCAGATGGCCAAGGTGATCCTTGGATAACGTACTTTGCATCTGAAAACCCACGCCACGCGGCTGAATGGTACATACGTGTAACTGTTGGTATACAGATTATGAGTTCAAATCCTCGATGCGAATCACGTTGGATCTCAAAACCCAGGCGAGGACGTAGCTCAGTGGGGCCTGCCCATTAGGTCCTTTCTCGGCTACTGGAGGAAGTTAGAGGTCTTTCATTGTGGAGTGGTTTTGAGTGAAGGCGGAGCTGAGTGAGGCTTATTGGTGGGTTGGTCATGGCGCGGATGCTTTGAGCATGCCATACTGGGAACTATGCCCAAACTCGTGTCAACTGATCCCAACGCGTGTCAGATACGTCCCAACTGATCCAAACACGTGTCAGATGCATCGTCTGTCGAACTCAGGAAGTAACTCATGGAACGACAGGGAAAATGTATTCAGTAACTTTCACTACTTTCAACAAGGGGTCAGACATACATTTGCTCTTTTTCACGTGTCAACTGATCCAAATGGGTTTCAGATATGTTCCAACTGATCCAAACTCGTGTCAGATACGTAGTGTGTCAAAATGTGGGAAGTATGGATCGCATGGAATGACGGGGAAATAGTAACCTGTAACTTTCAGTACTTTCAACCACGGGTCAGACAGACGTTTGTTCTTTTTCGTATGTCAACTGATCCAAACAAGTGTCAGATACGTTCCAACTGATCCAAACTCACGTCAGATACGTTGTGTCTCAAAATACGGTAAGTATGGAGCGCATGGAATGACGGGGAAATCGTAATCAGTAACTTTCAGTTCTTTCAACCATGGGTCAGACACGTTTGTTGTTTTTCACGTGTTAACTGATCCAAATGCGTGTCAGATACGTCCCAACTCGTCCAAACTTGCGTCAGATACGTCGTGTGTAAAAACGCGAGAAGTATGGAGCACATGGAATGACGGGGAAATCGTAATCAGTAACTTTCAGTACTTTCAACCACGGTTCAGGCAGAAGTTTGCTCTTTTACGCATGTCAACTGATCCGAATGCGTGTCAGATACGTTCCAACTGATCCAAACTCGCGTCAGCTACGTCGTCGTGTGTCAAAAATGCGAGAAGTATGGAACGCATGGAATGATGGGGAAATTGTAATCAGTAACTTTCGGTACTTTCAACCGCGGGTCAGACAGACGGTTGCTCTTTTTTGCATTTTTTGGCCTCTCGTTTTTTAGCGGCTTGTTATTGAGAGTATGCAGGGAATGGTTTTGTTTGGCGACTGATCTGGTGGTCTTTCTTTGTTAATGGTGTTTTTCTTTCGGTGGCTGTCTGATGCAGGGACAAGACACACGGAAAGATGAAAGTAATCTACGGATGGCTCAATGTGGGTCTGATAGTTGCAGCTGTCGTGTTCTGCCGGTACACGATCTTTGATGCGATTGTTTGGTGGGCGGGCATTCGGCCATCCGACGGAGTGATGCTTGGTGCTATGGTGTTTACCGCGGGGGTTGGATTCGTGCCGATGGTGATGTACCAGTTCTCCCATCTGCAGGTAAGCCTCCTCACCACATCAGAATTTGCTGACCAGTCTGCCGATCAATTTAACAAGGTTGTTCTCCATGTGCTCTGCGGCCAGGTGAATGGTCTGATGCTGAGCTTTTCTTCTTTTTCCGCACAGGATTTGAGCATTTGATACAGTCTGTTTATCAACTGTTATACGTGTGGATATTTACTAAAGATTCACTAGGAAAGTAAATCTGAAACTGGTATTCACATGTCACTGGTAGCCCCTTAAATTACCGGGCCCATGTGGCTGAATGGTATTCAGTACTATTCACATGTAACGGTTAGTTATCTTGGTGTCCTTTGGGACATCCGTCCGTTAAAATTGGAACGCTGGGAATGATTCAGAGAAGATTAGCATGGCCACTGGGCAAGTGTTACGTGCCTGATTGAAATGAGATACAGCATGGCATTCACACGTTCCCATACACATGCACAATGGCAAAAGATTTTGGAGAGAGCAAATTCACACCATACCGGATGAGAGCATACACAGCAGAAGCACACGTGAACCAAAAATAGAATTGAAATGAATCAATTCTAATTAATCCCCCACTCCGACGAGCCAACCAATGCACTGTTTCTAAGAATCCCAACCACGTCGTCAACTCCCAGAAACCAATTATTTAATATTTACACAGTTTTTGTCTTCCTTCCTCGCCACCAAGCTCAAGGTATGGGGCATACATCGCCCAACCTGTCAAGCCTGCCAACACTACACCACCCTCCTGTGTCCGACACAGCAAGCGGCAGCGACCCAAATTCCAGCTGCAGGTGGAGGGCCCACTCAGCAGGGGAGCGCAGCTCCCAGGAAGAAGAGGGAGAACATAAACACAATGAAGATGAAGAGGGTTTCCACTGTGTAGAGCACTGGGGAGCTCTGAAGTCCGCCTCGTCAAACCCCAACAGCCACAGTAGGAGGACGCGCCTACAGCGCTTAGGGCCTGTAAGCCCAGCGCTGTAACAGTTCTCAAGGTGGCTGGCTGGCTGGCCCAGCTATGGCCGTCAGCAACTGCTGATGAAGAAGATTCCCTGCGCTATCGAAATTAGCGCTGCAGCATACACGCGACCTCCACCCAGATCGTGAAAAAAAAAAAGATGAAGAAAAAAAAAAACCGTCAAAATGTGCCCTACAGACTTTTGTACAACCTGACACTACAGCCTACCAGATTGCTACAGCGGAGGAGGACCCAACAAGCAGACCTACAGACTGGCTGTACCTAAACCAAAATGCAGGCAAAAGGGAAAAGGAACGCAACGGGCCTATAAATAAATTCTACAGCTCAAAGAAAGCCCTTGTACGGGATAGCTCCAGGGATCAAGCCCTAGAGGGATCCAAGTTCCACACAAAGTCAGAACAGTCCCAGTTACCGTCTTCCCCCGAATACAACGTACGGGCATTATAGTTGAATTTGGGGTATCTTTCAGTCTAAATGCAGCTATAATGACCGTACGTTGTATTTGGGGGAAGACGGTAGGCATAGGTCATGGGATCAACGCCAAGAGGCCACAAAACGACAAAAAGTTAGAAAAACCTAGCTAGCTACTTTGTTTACACCCGCTCAAACCTGCAATTCATTGCGTGAGGATGACACACATAAATTGACGAACGTGCAAGGAAAATGAGCAATAGCGAAATGACAGAAATGCACTGATAACCGAAGAAGAGCCAAAGCAACTCGGTTGTCAATGAAAGCCCTCTCGCGCCACCAGCAACACTGTATCCGGTCTTCCCTCCTACAAGCGCTCAGCGCCCAGACTACGACCATACAGCTCCTATGCTAGCCTATCTTAATGACGAAGCAACCAATTGACAAAAGCAGCAGCAGCAACCGAAGTACATGCAGATGTCGCTCATGCAGACCACAGCGATGACCAGGTACGTGCTCTCACATCTCTCCTCACTCGACCTGTCTCTGCTCACCCTTGTCTTCTCTCTCTCTCCTTCACCAACCAAGGACCACCACCATACTCCACTGACCACCCTTGCGCCCAAGCCCAACTATGGCTGGCTTGGCGCTGCGTGGCTTCCATGCAGCACTATTCCACCTGCGCCCGCGTGCGCCCCTGTACACTCTCCGGCCAGTGGCCACAAGTGCCCATTACAGCAGCGCTGCCGCATTGCACACAAGTGCACAATTGCTTTTTCTCTGGCCTGGCTCTTTCCTATATGGAAAGCGGCCAGGCTCATTGCTGCCTGGACTGGGAGGCGTGCGTGCCCAGTTGCTTCACGTTGGGCCAAAGTGTCTGCGCCCAGGCCCGTTCAGACAGTGCCCTGGGCCGGCAACAGTTAGGCGCGCGCCCAACCACCCGGCGCGCACTGAGGTGTTCCCTGCTTTGTGATAAGCGGAGAGGCCTGCTTCCATGTCGAAGGCAGAGCCTAGAAGGCTCACGGAAGATTCTGATGCTTGCGAGCAGGGCTCATGTAACCAACTGGCTTGTGGCAACTGTCTGGCGCCCACCAAGGCCTGCAAATTTGGAGTGTTCAGTCCTCGTTGATATATTGGGGCCCGCCTTCTCTTAGGTCGGGCACAAGGCTTGCAGCTGGGCCCCTATACGGGCATGCAGAGGATACAGATCTTCGCAAATGGTCCCCCAAAAAATGAAAAAAAGCAGTCGGTATCTAGATCGAATGATCTTCTGGTGTATAACAATGTTCACTGTGATACGTACCGTCTTCACCTGAATAAAACACCCTGTCATTATCGCTGCATCTGGTTGGAAAGTTGCCCCATATACATCTGTACTGACCGGGCGTTCTATTGAGGCGAAGACGATAGTAGCAATGGCCCATTTGCTACCCGCATGTGGCTGTGTGGTAAGGGCGTATTCACACTAGCACTGTCTCAAAGGTATCTGACCTCGTTTGCAGCCGGACCTGTATGCATCTGCCTGCAATTCTGTTCAGAAATAAGTGCGAAGATGCTAGTGTGAGTATGCCCCAACTGTTCGTAAGGAGTTTGTATCTTCACCTGTGCAGGCCATGTGGCTGGGTGGTACAAAACTGTTCATGAAAAGATCAGGAGTTGATGAATATGAAGTTAGGGCCTGGCTACCGCTTTGTGCTTTTGTGTCCAATGCGGTGCACTGTGTGGTGCACATGCATCGTAGATCTAGTGCGGTGCACACACATTGTTGATCCTCACATTGCAGATGCATAGCGAATCAGCGATGCATCGAATGCGGCACAGACATTGGAGATCCTTGCACCAAATTACGGGGATAGGTGCAGGGCAGAACAGTGCTGCCCTGCTGCTGGAACACTTGTTTTCTTTTCCGTCCAGCCATCCTTCTGACAGCGGTACATGGCCAAAAGAGGAGGAGAAGAAGGAATCCGGAAGGAATCCGGGCTTCCTGGACTGCAAGTTAACTTGTCCGCCATCTGTTCAGGGCGGCCATGTTTTGTGTTACGCTTGATGAACCTGGGCGGCTTTAGCAATAAGTTCAGGCTCTCCTGTCAGCATGCATGGGGCCTGGCCGTTACTTCAGCCCTCTGAATCGCTTCCCCACGAAACTGCCTGCGGTCAGACTCTCACTCTCTCTCTCTCTCTCACACACACACACACACACACACACACACACACACACATGCAATGACTTGCTGTTTTCTGCCGCCGGTGACCCGTCGACCCGAGGTTGTAACATAGGTATAGGTTAGCTTCCTTATTTTGTTTGGCTGAAGGCTAGAGGAGAGGCCTGCCTGTAAGGGACATTTCCTTATTTTGTTTGGCTGAGGGCTAGCGGAGAGGCCTGCCTGTAAGGGAAATTTGTGAGGGACATATCTGCAAATTCGGGAAAATATAGGCCCACACTAACCAGAAATTTCCTACAGCTACCCTAACTGCGAATGGTAGGCCCGGGCTACCCCTAGGACAGACAGGCCCTAAAGGCCTACGCTGATAGACGGTCCTATGGCCTATAGCCGGGTAGGGAGAGGCCCTAGAGGCCGACACTGAAACGGTAACGGTCAGTCCTACCAGTCCGGTCTGGGTCGTGTCTAGGCTAGGGTAGAGTATGAATAGGTTAGGGGAAAACTATTCGGGGCTTTTGGCAGTTGGTACCAAAGTTCAGGACTGCTGCGCAACGCATGAACTGGAAGTGAGGACAGCTTCAGCGTTGGAGAAGACGGACATAGCCAGACCTGCGAAGCGTCGGCCATAGCTGGGACCTTCCCTGTTCTCTGACAGCACACGGGGCTGTTCAGAGGTCTGGGCCATCTGGAGTCTGCTGGAGGCAAAAGAAGGTGGTGCCCTGCTGAACCCTCCTCAGGACTAGGTTATCAGGGTATGTGGCGCTGCAGCCATAGCTGCAGCTTTCATCCTCAGAGATCATCTTGTCGGGAGAGGTGGTGCTGCTGCAGAACTTCATCCGTGAATACACCTGGCACACCATCTTCATCAGAGACTGTGGCGCTGGTCTTCTTCTTCATCCTCTGAGAGGCGCTTGGCCTCAGAGGCCTGTTACAGGGTGGCGCTTCCCTCTGGAGGCAGTATCTGGGTGGCGCTTGATGTTTCAGGGAATCGGGGGTAGTTCTAGCGGTTATTCAGGGTTGGGGAGTGAAGCGCTGCTCGATTTTGAGCAGCGCATCGTGATTCTGGGGTCATCCTGACATTTCGAGACTCTTGAGTTTAATAACCAGTGTTTATACTGTGTGTGAACTATCGTTTCTTCATTGTTTCCTGCATGTGATCTACTCGGCCTTCCTTTGTGACTGCTTGTGAGGATTCTGCGGAGCGAACTGCACTCTCAGTGTTTTCTGTCATATCGCATGGTCAAGTCTTCCGCTGTGTTTATCTCTCACTGTGCGGTGTGATACTCCCATCCTCTCCCCTTCCTTCTGTGTATGTATGGGCATACCTGGAAGTCTATGTGAGCGAGTGTTGGCCTTCTGACAACAAACAACCAGGATCACACACACACACACACACACACACACACACACACACACACACACACGCACACACACACACACACACACACACACAGCCA